TTTTTTTTTTTCAATGCTTAACTAATTCTTAACTAGGGATGGCTTGATTCAACTTTTTCATGTGGGTCTGCCGATACCGATATCAATCCGATACCTTCTTCTCACTTCCAGCATGCCACTGACTGCTGTTGCTGAGGTGATAGCTTCCCTTTTTCCCGGCACGGTCGTGCAAAGATACGTTGAGCATTTGGTATCTGAGGTATCGGATCAGATGGGCCATGGTTCAGTATAGTTTTTCAATGTTTGGACTAATAGCAAACCTAAATATCGGATCAAGCCATCTCTAGCAAAGAAGTATGGACGATCTAGAACTAAAAAAAAAAAAAAATCATTTTTTGCCCACCTGATGAGCATGTTACGCAGGATGGTAAAATCACAGTGTTCTCCGTTTTCCACTGAGAGACAAAACAAAGCATACAAACAATCAGTTACATCATTACAAGAAGCCAACTTTGATCATTTTGCAACGTTGTATACATCACATTTCCAATAATAAAACTCTAGAATTTTAGACTGAATTCAAACTTTGTTTTCATTTCCAATAATAAAACTCTAGAATTTCAGACTGAATTCAAACTTTGTTTTTTTTCAAACTGAACGTGCCAGAATTTATTCAAAGAGAGAAACCTGTGTGAATACAGTTCGGGAAACTAAACTTTTCACGAGAAATATATTGATAGTAATTTGCTAGTACTTTATAAGACAAATTAAGGCTGATTGGTACTTGGCTGTAGTACATCATTTGAAGAGAATGTTGCTCTCTCATTCTTTATATAGACTAAAGCTGGAATGGAGGGGGAAAAAAAATTTTTAGTCCTCAACTCAATATCTGAGAATAAAAAAAATAGGTTTAAGTTATACGTGTGTGGGGAGGAAACTACTGTTTTCTTATTCAAAACATGACAGAGATTTGACACACACACACACACACACACACCTCATGTGACACTCAGTTGACGAAACAATGGAGATAACAATAACCTTTGACACCAATGGTTGTATTTAAACATGTGAAAAAATGTCTTCTTTGTTGTCTATTTAGTCTGAATCGTGCTTTAAATATTTTATCTGGAGGAGGAATGAAGACTATTCTGTTCTCTATTCTTGTGAAGTATATTGTAGTGTGAATAGACACGTATTGCATCACTCTGATGGTATGGGCAAACTACGGGTCGGGGGCCGGATACGGCCCGTTTGACTTTTTCATCTGGCCCTGCAAGGGCTGCATTTCACCGATAGATTGCGTAAAAAAAGGCCAAAAGCATTTTAGCATTTTAGCCTTTATGCATGAAATTTATCTTAGCTTACATGAAAAAAGTCATCCATCTGCTCCTGTAGCCATTGAGGCCCACGTGTCACAAAGTTCGAGCCATCCCTTTTACAAACATCAAACAAATCTGGACATAGATCCGAGTTTTTATCCTTTATCAGATCTTTTCTGAGAATTCCCACAACCAAATTCAAGCCAACGTTTGATGCGCTGGCAAAAAACGTTGAACTAATCATAATAATAATAATAATAAGTTTCCACTGAATTTAAATCTTTTCTTTGAATATATATATAAGTTGGGTCTTGTAGAACATCAAAATAGTTTACTTGATACTGACCGTCTCACCTGCCAAATTCTTCAAATGTCTTAAGGAGTTAAAAAATCCAAAATATATTTGAGGTCACTTAAAAAAAAACCCTCTATTCACATCAAAGAAACAAAAGAACAACAAATGTGCTACCACGTAAGACATACTAAATTACTGTATGTTTGTGCGAGTAAACCTGCAGTGTCTCACCTTCAGCCACTCCCCACGGGTACTGCCTGCCGCGCACTCGCTTTCCATTCACCTCAATAATTGTGTTGCTACCGACCACAGCCAAGGGTAAACAATCCTGCAGAGAGAGGAACCAACTTTGCATAAATCACATTAAATATTAGAGCAGTTCCAAAATAGCGATAATGTGATATATTGCGATATTTCGTCCGGCTGTACGCTACTGAGATACTGCCTGCAAATATTGACTTTTAAACACTATACAATTGTTCTAAACCGTATGTGTCAAACTCGAGGCCCATGGGCCAAATGTGGCACGCCAAGTCATTTTGTGGGGCCCATGGGAGCTTAAAAAGATTTTAATTGCCTTATAACAAAGTCCATGCTGAGTTTGTCAACTTGAATAATTAAAAAAATATATATATTACTAAGAGCAAGGTACAATATTGGTAACATGAAAAAGAAAATTTAATAAATTGTGGATACATGTATAAAAATGGAGTTATGGAGTAGTTACCCCCCCCTGAAATTGAGTGACACTCTGCTGCAATTTTTTAAGTCTCCACATGATGGTGCCAGAGACTAATTTTTGCTTTGGTACTACGGTTGCAATTGCTTGCAGCTCGTTTAAAAATAAAAATATAAAATATATTAAAAATATCTTGTGGTGTTTGTATTAAGTAACATGTACGGAAGCAAAACAGCTGTTACTGTCCCATTACATTTAAAAAAAATACTTTTGCTTTGAAACATTACGTAACAGAAATTACCTTTATTTTTCTGGCTATCCTCGTCTCTTCTTCGTCGTCGGTCTCTGGAAACTCATAAATTCTGATTTTGTGCTCCTGGATTTCTTTAATGATCTGCACAGAAAAACAGAGTCAGATCAGAGTCAAATCCACAGCAGTTGTTCAAGAGCAGTGAATTGAACCGCATGTGCAGTTGTGACGTGTTCCGTAACCATCAATATTGACACTGAAAGTTAGCGGATGCACACATGCAAAACAGTTTTTTCAAATGAGCAACACAATCATTGCTCGTCTGTGCCTCTCTCAACAATTGTACAGTCATTCTTATTGTTTTGTTATGTAGATCAAGTATTTGTTTGAGAGTTTTGTTTTTTTTTTTTTTAACATACACTTCCAAAGATTAAATAACTTACATTTTCTTGCATGCAAAGACATTCATATAAACTACACTAGCTAAACGATCTTAGTTCAGACTTAGGCAAACTTTTTTAACTCACGGACCACAACTGTCCTAATATTGAACAGGGGGAGGCCGGGTCAGGGGCAGATAGATGGAGCGTTCGTGTGAACTAAGATAGATGACGTATAAAAGTCTTGCATAAAAGGCCAAAATGCTAAAAATAATTTTCAACGCCATCTGTTGGGGATTGGGTTTTGCAAGGGAAAAGGCAGAAGTATAATGATAATATAAATCAATTATACAATTTGGAAAAGTCTGACGGCCCGGATTAAAAAAGCTGAGCGGGTCGCATCCGGTCCGCGGGCCTCTGTCTTAGACTATGTGTCACGTTAGGGTCGTTTATTTGTTGGAAAGACAAGTCATTTCATCTTGCCACATTTTCTTCTGGTCTTTGTGCGAGTATTTCCTTCGGCACTACTTCCTTCCTGAACTGTAATTACAAGGAACACCGACGACACCTAGAGACAACACACGCTTAGCGACTCCAGATTCCAAACGTAGAACTTATAGGTTTGCATAACAATGTGCAAGTGGGTACAAAGCGCAAACAACAACGAACTAAAGTGCCACCGCTCTACCTGGAGTACTTGACTCTTCGCTTTCGTGTCCAGAACCGTGTACGCTGTCGAGTAGAAAAACATTTGTCCTTGAATAACAAACACCGAACGCACCTGTTTCTTGAACTGTTGACACTCTTCAGGAGTCATCGTGTCAGCTTTGGCAATCAGCGGGATGATGTTTACTTTCTCGTGTAATCGTTTCATGAACTCGATATCCAAAGGTTTTAGTCTGAACAAAAAAGAAGAAGAAGAAAGTATAGCTGTAAGAAAGTATAGCAAATACAAATAAAAAAATGTATCAAAATATTTTAACAAAACGACATAGCCAAGGCACTTTGGTATCCAAATTAAAAAATATATATGTATGTATATATATGTATGTATATGTATGTATATATATTTATATGTATGTATATGTATATATATGTATATATGTATATGTAATGTATGTATATGTAATGTATGTATATGTAATATACAGTTCCTAAAAAAAAAATATTTTTGCATAAAAATACATGAGGAAACTGTTCAGTAAGCTAAGCACTGCTAAACTGCTACAGACAAAACAACTGATGACCCAGAGAGTAGGTTGAACATCCTTCCTGTGTGTGCGCACGTCTGAGCACAAACATCTCATAAGTTACAGCCGCAGGTTAACCACACACAGCGTAGGTGAGTGGGGAAAAAGTATGATAGGCTTCTTTTTTGGTTTCTCTGATTCTATGGTCATGGGTTAAGTGAATTAGAGAGCTGTCAAGTAGTAGTTTTCCCCATGGTTCTAGAGGCAAAGAGGCATAGGCAATGTTATTTTACTGATGCAACGTAGCGTAATTTCCGGACTATAAATCGCTACTTTTTTTCCCACTTGCTTTGAACCCTAAACTGCGGTTTAAACAATGATGCGGCTAATTTATGTCATTTTTACGGGCTAACGGAGTTCATGCCGCTAGCGATCAATGACTTTTCCGGTAGGCTACTGTGTGTTATACTAGTAGCGTATGACTGTCTGTGAATGGCTGTGTGCGTATATATATGTAGAGAGAGAACGGTAGCGAAAGTTGATCGCAGTTTGTGTGGCTGATAATAAAGACCCCAACATCCCTTTCTGTTTACCTCTGCTGTGGACAAGCACAATGCTAATGTTAGCGTTAGCCCTGGAGCAGTTTACTAAGTCTACGAACTAACCATGTCACAACGTGGAGACGCGGCTCATAGCAAAGTGTGGCTTACATATGTACAAAAATATTTTTCTTTTTTAATTTAGTGGGTGTGGCTTATATTCAGGTGCGCTCAATATTCCGGAAATTACGGTACATGCATATTCACATAATTTTGAAGTACTACTTTCTTGTTATTATGTTTAACATTTGTATACATACACACAAATTAAATAGATTTTGTATAAATATTAAACAGATACGTATACATTTGCATTAGTTTACCAGTGTCTAATGGTGCTCCAAAAATCAACCTAAATTAATGCACAGTTTGAATCATAGCTTTGTGAATATAGGCTGGGCCTCACTGTTGTTCCCCTTACAGTTTACCAATGAGCTTGTTCTGTTTAGTTCAACAGAACAGTTAGGCTGTTAGGGGTACATTTTTCATTGTGTCACATTTTTGGCCCGCTTTCAAATGATCTACGGACTGGTCCGCGGACCTGGGGGTTTGGGGACCAAAATGAAGACAGTAATACATACCCGTGCCCAGAAGGAGCAATAAAATAGAGACAGCCGTGCACCCTGTTGTCGGGCATCTGTCTTCTGTTGACCCTCGACTCTGCATTCAGGTAATCCTCGAACTTGCTGTCAATGTAATCAATCACCTGCTGCCAGCTAAAGAAACATATAATGGGGATTAGTTTCAGGCTTAGTCTTGTAGCATTCAGACGTCCAACATGGAGTGAGCTCACCAGTTACTGTTATCAACAGCATCACCGAAGCCGGGGGTATCAACGATAGTGAGAAGAAGTTGGACTCCTCCCTCCTTTATCAGAACCTTCGACTGCTCCACCTGAGAAAAAGTGTTCCGAGTCAGTCCAGAATAAAAAAAAAAATTAAAAAAAAAAATAAAAACATAAACAACTTGTTCCTAACTTACCTGTTTTACCCTCAAAGATTGTGACCATGACTCGATCTGATACTCAGATTAGTACTGGTCTGATATTAGTCAGAATTTCAGGATCGAACGGGGAAAAAAAAAAAAAAAAAAAAACACCTATAGCCCGTCCAATCCGATACCTAAGTCCAAATGCTCGACTTAACTTTGCAAAACGTGCGGTATAAAGGCACACTATCGCCTCGGCAACGGCAGCCCGTGGCATGGCGGAGGAGAAAAGAAGGTATCAAATTGATATTCGGTTACGGAAAATACTCCAATTTGCAGTATCGGTATCATGAAAAAGTTGTATCGTGCGATTTGAAAAAAGCTAGTAAATGTATTTTTCACGTGGAATGAGGAGGTTCTAGTAATAGTTATCATAAAATAATATGGTGCCACACCATTTAGATTTCATAGGGCGATAAGAAGAAATATAAACATTACCTGTACGGTTTTTTTAATCCTGTGCGAAGGCCCAGGGTATTCAGACGAGTACAAGTCGGTCAGAAATAGGGAGTTAATCAACGTAGACTTCCCCAGACCAGATTCTCCTGAAGGCAAACACAAGGCAAGGTTTAGCACGATAAGGAATGAATGAATGTTGGAGGTGATTATAAAATGGTTATCAATAATGTAATAGATACTATTTTGTATTTTGAACAGCAGTAGCTATTACTTTTAACAGCATCAGGAGGAACAGCTACTCAACCCTGTGCGTGTGCATATAAAGATAATGAAATAAAAATTAATTAAAACCATATTGAGTGAAGATACAAATTGCGAGCAATTTTAAGAATAAACAAGGTACTTACCAGTACAATGTTCTTCTTTTTGTTTAAAAAGAGTAATGCGAAAGTAATGTTTTCTTAGTTTGATTAAAAGATTTTTCATAGATGGGTGATCCGATACTCAAAATTTCAGGATAAAAAAAAAAACAAAAACAAAAAAAAAAACTACCACCCATCCAATCCGATACCCAAGCACAAATACTCATTGACTCCATGTTTTTATGTATCAATTTTCTATCGTATCTGATATGGTATCTCTTAAAGGATTCAAATTATTTTAATTGTCTGTGCCATGCTATGCTAGCAATAAACTTCATCAGACTAATACAGGTATTAGTGCCATAACAGGGAATCTAATTTCACAGCACCAAAGCATCTGTAATGTAGTGAAGGTAGTTTGTTTACTCCGACCAAGAATTGCACAGAAACAACTACTCACCCACAACCATAAGCGTGAACTCGAAACCTCTTTTCACAGACTTTCTGTAAACTTGGTTGGGAAGATTTGCGAACCCGACATAGCCCTCCACGTTTTTCTGTTGCTGTGTATCACAAAAGAAAAATGAGCATTGCCTTGGAAAAAATACAGATTTTGTTTAAAAAAAAAAAAAAGCTAATAAATTAATGGGTAGCCATTTTTTTAAGGTTACAATAAAAACTCTTAAAATAAATTAATGGGTAGCCATTTTTTTAGGTTACTCTTAGACTGATATAAATGCTAAAGTACTTACAGCTGATTTGGGGAAAAGCCAGGACAGGGTGATTAATGGAGCAGATCCCGATGGCAGAAACGTAAGCAAAAGAGAGAACAAAAAATTAGCATAACAACAGCTTTTTCATTCGGGCAATACACCATCTCATCTAGATAGTTAAACTTTTTTTTTTAACAAGACTGAAAAAGACCCTTTCCTATAAAAGCAGCTTTTAACCACAGAGTTTCATGTAAGAATTTCTTATCTAAAAAAAAAAAAAAACGCTTGTAGAAATTGCACATTGGGATGAATGTCACAGAGGGCACTGGTGTAGCACAAAATGCTAGGTTTCCATGGTAACAAGCGTTTATTTCCCAGTAATCTATAACCCCAGGTTATATCAGCAATCAAATATATTTAATTAATAATAATAATAAAATTAAAAATTAATATGATCTGTCCAATGCACCTCATGTCTCTGCACTGCAGTACGTCCTAATAAATTTCGGGAACACGTACAATATGAGGGTGTACTAATCAAAACAGTACAGCATGACCACCGCGGTATTCGCACTGGTATTTTGCTCCATGCCATCTGACACTCTGGAACAGTCAGACTGAATGCCTGACCTTCCCATCTATACCAACCCTATGCAAAAAGCAGAGTCAATATGTCAATTGGCTATGGCTGCTGGATATGGATTTTAAGATGTGTACAATCAATAGTTTTAGACAAGTTTTATCATTTTAATAATTTGTATATTGTATGACACAGATTTCTTGGCATACCATATCACGTGGGGGTTGTAACTGGAAGACTGTTAAAATGTAACTACATAACTTTTTCATAAATATTTCTGAAATTGATTCATTTTTATTTATACTATATATTTATTCTTTTTTTTTTTTTTTTAAATCAGGTTAAGAAACTCTGCATGGACTTTGTTATATTCTCCTTAAGATCCCGCCGGCCACAAAAATTGACTTGGCGGGCCAAGTTAGCCCCCGGTCCGTGAGTTTGACACATGTGGCATATGGGGTCTGTTCAGTTCTTCTGTTTTTTGTGTTTCCAAACTCTCGCAATGCAGTTTTCATTACACGAACACAAACCATTTTTTTAAACTATGGGGACAACATTTGGTTTCTTTATAAATAATTGACCTTATACGTCGTTTTCCCTCACATTAACTTACAGACAGTGAACTATGTACGTCACTGACAACGAACAGACTCAGCAGCGAGACCCGTGACAAAAACACAGGAAATGCGTTTTGCAAGAACCAATTAATGACATCTAATATGTCGAACTCCTTCTCAAACCCTTGTCATACTCACGGCAACAACGATTTAATCTGAAGTCAACTTTGAATATAGAAATATTTGTCGTAAGCGTCACATAGATACGCTTAACAGAGAAAATAACTTACACAACTTCTTAAAAAATAAAATCGTGAATATCCTTGACCAGGGAGCTTTAAACATATAACATATCATGTAACCGAGAGTGTTCTCTTCCGGTTTAACTATAAAGTAGAGACTAAGGTTAATTTAACTGTGTGGTATAGTGTTGCGATGCGGAAGAGTGCATAAATTAATGATGTTTGTAGGCTACGCTGCAAAAAAAGTTAAGTCACATTACAGGCATTTTTGTTTACGAGTAGTTTTCGCATGGAGGGCGTTACAAGAAGCTAGTCTTACGTTTTAAAAAAAAACAACCGCTTAATCTGCTCACATTTGAATTAGCTTACATGTGAAACAGTGCGCCAAACAAAAGCAGGCTATGCTGAGTGAATATTCAATACCACCACGCTCAGTACACCAGTTTACAAAAAGAAAGAAAGTTTTACCCATGGTATCCTGTCTGTTCCTGTCTGTCTTGAGGAGCAACGTTTATTTGGTATTAACTCTCAGAAACTGCTCATAATGTGACTCGCGGGCAGAAGACTGTCGTGAGGAAGGTCTATGCAAAAGTGCTTACGTTCTGTTTGGAAAATACGAGCTGCGACGTATCGCGAGATTTGGACTGAGTCACTCACAACCCACATTGTATTTGATTATTTTCCCAGTTTTAGTTAACTGAAATATTCAGCAACACGTCGTATTTTTTTACGTCTCTGTACATATTTGTTGTCATTTCTCTTGTCACTTCTCTTGGTCTATTGACATTTTCTTTATTCTAGAACCTTCTCCT